GAAGCACTGGCAGACTGGTATAGCAGTAGAGGCAAGTGTTCAAGTTCACCAAATTTTCAAGCCTGGATGTGAAGAATGTCAAGTCTACATTCTACAATGGCAATAGAAACTATGCAAGTACTGGATAAGAAACAATGAATTCAGAGAATAATTTATTTACTGTATGAAAGAATCTATACAAATTGAAGGAGCTAAAAAATATATAATAGAAAGCCATTAGATTCTGAATGCTGACAGTTCTTTTAGCAAAATTGAAGACAAAATATGAGCCATCAACAATTACGAAGCAGCAAAATTAAAAATTAAGTTCAAAATGGAAGATAATATAAAATATCAAATGGATAACAGCAAGAGGAATAATTTTCAAATCATATAAATATGGAGAGGAAAAGAGAAAAGGGAAGAACAATAATGGAAGAGATAATAGCTCCAGAATTTTACTAGTCTCTGAAGGAAGGCTTCTGCACAGATTAAAGAGATCCAAAGATGGGACCAAAAGTACAGTGAGCAGAATGCTTGCCTTGATTGATGCTGACGCTGGTTCAGTATAGCAAGCAGAATGCTTACCTTGCAAGATGCTGACCCAGGTCAAACACCTGGCATGCTATTGAGTCCATCTAGTCTTTCCTGGAGTGATATCTGAGCAGAGAGACAGAAGTAACCCCTAAGCAATGCAGAATATAACTCAAAAACAAACAATAAAAAAAGAAAGAGAGAAAGAGACACAGAGACACCCAAAGAGTACCAAACAACAGATTAAAACAGAACACCACCAAGACAGAATGTAATCATAATGGCAAAAACTAACAAAAACAAAACAGATTACTTAAAGCATCAAAGAGAAGAAATACCTCAAATACAATGTTAAGAACATAAGAATCACAATGCATTTTATACGAAACCAAACAAGCAAGAAAAGAATGGAATGACATATTCAATGCACTAAATGAAATGAAACTTTCAATCTAATATGAAATGAAACTTTCAATCCAATATAATATATTAGATGTCAATATTAGAGCCCTGTAAAACTGTAATTTGTGTTTTGTGTTTATAAAACAAACAGAAGCTGGTGACATTTGCTATAGCTAAACTAACTCTGAATTTCTGAAAGACCACCTATAAAATGCAAACTGCCAATTGTGAAAACAACCTATCCCCACACAGAAAAATGCTAACTCACTGCCCTTCATATCAATACTAACTCTGAATATCAATAAATTAAACTTTCCCATCAAAGGGCATAGATCTGGATGGATAGATCAGGAAACAAAATGCATACATTTGCTGCTTACAGGAAATACACCAAAATTCACAGAATAAATACAGGTTCAGAGTAAAAGAAAGAAAAGCAATTAATAGAAGTAGGAGGGGGAAAAAGCAGGACAGCCATAATTATATCACACCAAATAGCATATGATCCTATAAGACACAGGTGGAAGGAAACATCCACTAGATAGTAATGCCCATTACATAGAAACCTACAGCCAATATGATTTTCAATATAGAGAAAATGAAACTCTGAAGGGTGTTGCTCCCTTCTGCCTTTTTTCCTCTGGACAGCAAGATGGCGGCTGCCTCGGAGCTTTTGGAAAGCCAGGTATGAGCCAGTTGTGATGGGCAACTGAAACCTCATGGGAAGGGGGTCGTTCCTGGGTCGTCCTTCACGCCCTACTGAGGTCACGAGTTGCCCCCCACGAGCAGCTCTCCAGCAGGGCCATGGCTCCAGAAGCACAAGGACTTAATGCAGAGCCCAGCAGCTTGCAGCAGAAAAGTGAACGGACTATGCGTTAATCCATGCCACCATGCCTGCCTGGAAGGAAAAGGGTGTTGCTCCCTTCTGCCTTTTTCCCTCTGGAAAGCAAGATGGCGGCTGCTTCGGAGCTTTTTGGAAAGCCAGGAATGAGCCAGTTGTGACGGGGTGACTGAAACCTCATGGGAAGCGGGGCGTTCCTGGCTCGTTCTTCACGCCCTACCGAGGTCACAAGTTGCCCCCACGAGCGGCTCTCCAGCAGGGCCATGGCGCTAGAGCCACAGAAATCAATCTTATAATTATCTGACTCTCAGCAGAAATACTTCCAGGCTTAATAAGTAAAATACCATAAATCCAAAATCATTTGGTTCTTGTAACCAGCTGTAGAAAACAAATTATTTCACAATGCCTTTTCAGCAGGTCTGATTTGGGGGTGTAAACTCTAAATAATAATGGTGCATATTTTGTCGAAACAACAAATCTAATCAAAGTAGATAGAGTGTTAACTAGAATTCATCTGCCTCACAGGTATTGGAAGGGTTGGGAGAGGGGGTATATTGGGGTTCTTGGTGGTGAAAAATAAGTACTGGTGAAGGGAAATGTGTATGATGATTACAAGACCGAGACTTAAACCTGAAAGCTTTGTAACTTTTCCCACAGTGATTCAATAAATAAATTAATTAAAAAACTTGCTAGAAAAATGCAAAATTAATATCTTTTATATTGATTGCATGTTGAAATATAACTTGGATCCATTGAGTTAAATAAATTACATTACTGGAAAAAAAAAAGAAAAGGTAACTGAGATCAGGCACAAGACAGGAATGTTCTCTATAGCTATTTTTCTTTCTTTCCTTCTTTTTATTTTGTTGGTTTGGGGGACACACCCTACAGTGCTCACAGGCTAGTCCTGGCTCTGTGCTCAGAAATCGACTGACATAACTTTGCAATTTTGTATTTCATAGTGATTTAATACATTAAAAAAAAAAAGGAAAAGAAATCACTTCTGGTAAGGCTCATGGGACCATATAGGCTTCTGGGGACCAAAATCAGGTCCCTTACCTTCTATACTATATATCTAGCCCTTTGTTAATAATTATTTAATATAACAATAGAAGTTCTGGAAATGGCAATCAGGAAAGAAAAACAAATCAAAGGCATCAATATTGTAAAATAAGAAATCAAAGTATTACTCTTTTAGATGACATAATATACATAGAAGGCCCCCAATAGAATAAAGCTCCTAGAAACAATAAGCCAATTCAGCAAGATGACTGGCTTTAAAATTCATTGCACAGGGCTGGAGAGACAGCACAGTGGGTAGGGCATTTGCCTTGCACGCGGTTGACCCAGGTTTGATTCCCAGGATCCCATATGGTCCCCTGAGCACTGCCAGGAGTAACTCCTGAGTGCAGAGCCAGGAGTAACCCCTGTGCATCACTAGGTGTGACTCAAAAAGCAAAAATAAAATAAAATAAAATTCACTGCACAAATATCTACTGCATTCCTATGTACAAATAGTTAACTAATAAGAGATCAGAGTCTACTCCATTCAAAATAGTGTCCAAAACCATCAAGGACCTTGAAAGCAATTTAATAAATAATATGAGATATGTATACCATAAAAACAATGTCACTTAAAAAAGAGATAGAAGACCTTATGAAATATAAAAATATTCCTTGCTGATGGGCTGGAGCGATAGCACAGCAGTAGGGCGTTTGCCTTGCACGCAGCCAACATGGCCAACCCGAGTTCGATTCCTCCACCCCTCTCAGAGAGCCCAGCAAGCTACTGAGAGTATCTTGCCCGCATGGCAGATACTTGCTCAGGCAGAGCCTGGCAAGCTCCCCGTGACGTATTCGATATGCCAAACACAGTAACAACAAAGTCTCCAATGGAGACGTTACTGGGCCCGCTCGAGCAAATTGATGAACAACGGGAGGGCCTCTACCTTTACCTTTATGGATTGGAAAAATCAATACAACCTAAATGACTATCCTATCTAAATTATCATATAAGTTTCTTTATATTTAAAGACAAATTTATATAGTCATATATAAACATAAACCAAATTCTGTGTCAAGGACTCAGAGTGATCAATGATAAAGTTTATATGGAACCGTAAAATATCCCAAATAGTCAAAAGATACACTGAGAAATAAGGAACTGGGAGACAACTCATTACCTAAATTGAAATTATTCTATAAAGTGTCAAAAAATCATGGCACTGGAATAAGGATGGGCTCTCTGACCAATGAGTGAGAACTGAGTACCCAAAGATAAAATATATATGAAACTATATACCAACTATATAAAACAAAAAAACATGTAGAATGCAGAAAAGGATTAAATACTCAGTTTTCATATTCAAACCAACAGTATTTAAAAAGATATAACCACCAGATTCTGAAAGTAATATAAAATAGGGCTGGAGAGATAGATCAACGTGCTGAGTGTTCAGCATACCTAGATTCACTGACCAGCACTGTCTCACAAAACCACCAATTTTGACCCCCAAGCAGCAAGCTGATAGTTTTCTCTGAGCAGGGGTTTTGAGTTGAGGACACAAAATTTAAAAAAAATAAGAAAAGCAGTATTTTAAAAATAATCAAATAGGTGATGGAGAAACTGTGCCTGACACTGTATATGGTCCCCCTGAACAATGCTAGGAGTATATCATGAGTACAGAGGCAGGAGTGAGCCCTGAGAACAGCTAGGTATGGCCCCACTTACCCTGTCCAATACCCCCAGATAATAAACAAAACATATCAAATATAGATACAATTTTTAAAGAAGCGATGCTTGGGCCAGAGCAACAGTGCAGGAGGTAGGGCATTTATCTTGCACATGACTAACCCAGGCGCAATCCCTAGTACCCCATATGGTTCCCTGAGCCTGTCAGGAGTGATCCTTGTAAGTCCTGAGTACATTCAGGTATGACTCAAAAAACAAGCAAAAATTGAAGCAATGCTTAATATTTTCCTGTATTGTTTGTTATATTTGCTAACATACACAAAACAATTGTTCTGTTCTACTTTAACTCTCAGATTTTTCAAATGACTAATAAAATTAAAAGTCAAAATGTCTCTCTTTAATCAAAATAAAAGATTTTATACCTTTATCCTACTAAGGATGCCCTATCCAGAATTTATCCATAACATGCATTATTACAGTGACACTGAAACATTAAAATTTAGCTAGAAAACTAATCACTTTTTTTGTCAGGTTTCAGAAACCAATACTTACCAACAAGGATACCTTTTGTCTTCTTGATAGGGATACCTCATTTTCCTCAGTTGCTTGTTGGTAAAACAAAGCTTCGAGTTGATTAACTGTAGAGGAAAGCAAAGGCATGTTAACTTAAGAACAAAAGCGTATCATCACCCACCCACTTTTATTGGAGGAAGCAAAGGAAAATGTGGCTGTAGGAATAGTTTGGCATGATCTTGAAAGGATATACTAAGGTTTTATATGGGCATACTTCATATACTTCAGCCTATAGCTGTGTAAACTCAAAAAGACGGCAGTGGTCTGTCTCTCTCGCTGCCTGCATTCGGTAATCCCACGTTGGTTCCCCACACTGGGGGGGGGGGGGGTTGATAGTGATGGGCAAGCGAAGGAAGGAAATGAGGGCCAGGGTGGTTAATGTTAGTTGCAGTTTATTCCATTCCCATGTCCATTCTCCTCTGATTCTCCTCCTCCTTCTTCCTCCCTCATGCTACTTCATTCTCCTCCTCGATCCCCCTTTATCCTCCTTCTCGCTCTGGAATCTGGATCCCCTTTCTCCTTCTCCTTCTGGAGTATGGATCTTGATTCCCCAGCCCACTCTTTTTTTTTCTTTTTGAATTATTTAAATATAAATATCGCTGGAGCGATAGCACAGTGGTAGGGTGTTTGCCTTGCACGCAGGCAATACGGCCGACCCGAGTTCGATTCCTCCGCCCCTCTCGGAGAAGCTACCGAGAGTATCTCGCATGCACGGCAGAGCCTGGCAAGCTACCTGTGACGTATTCAATATGCCAAACACAGTAACAACTAGTCTCACGATGGAGACATTACGGGGCCCGCTCAAGTAAATCAATGAACAATGGGAGGACCGTGACCTTTATTTATTGAATCACTGTGGGAAAAGTTACTAAGCTTTCAGGTTTAAATCTCAGTCATACAATGATCAAACTCCTTTCCCTTCACCAGTACTCATTTTTCACCACCAAGAACCCCAGTATACTCCCCCTCCCACTCCTCCAAATGCCTGAGAGGCAGATGATTTCCACTTAACTCTTCTCTACATTGATTACATTCACTATTTCGACAAAAGATGCACCATTATTGTTTAGAATTTCCCCCAAACAATCAGAATTGCTGAAAAGGCATTGTGAAATATTTTGTTTTCTATAGCTGGTTATGAGAATTTCTGCAAAGAGCCAGATAATTACGAGATTGGTTTCTGTGTGTCTGGTGTTATTGCCATGCTGGAGAGTCGCTCGTGGGGGGGCAACTCGTGATCTTGGTAGGGCGTGAAGGACATGCCGGTACCGCCCCCCTTCCCATGAGACTGCAGTTGCCTCATCACCGCCAGCTCTGGCTTTCCTATAAGCTCTGAGGCAGCGGCCACCTTGCTGCCAGGGGGGAAAAAGGCGGAAGGGAACAACACCTTTTCCCTCCCGGGGAGGCATGGCACCGTAGTTTAACACATGGTCCATTCACTTTTCTTTTGCTAGCTGCCCCAGCCCACTCTTACAGTCTAGTTAAAACCCAAAAGCATCCTTTCTGGGCACGCGCACCTAGATCCAGCCCCTAGACAGCCGGTTTTCAACCCCTGAGCTGCGCGGGACGGGCACGGAGGCCCAGCTCTGGGCAACAAAGATGACCGGCTCCAATTCCAAACAGGAGACGTTCCCAACTCCTCGCCAGTGCCAGGGACTCTTTCCGGAGCCGCGGCCGCTAACGCGACCGCGAAATATTTTCCCACTACGTATGCCATAGGAACCATAAGCTACTTTCTTAGATGGAAACTTCTCTATTTTAGCTCAGCCACTAGAAACACAGTAGCCAATAACTCATAAGCCTATCTTAACTCACACTGCATATCAAGCAGAATAGTAACAGTGAACGTGAAGGACTAAACCACACCTCTCACAATGGTAAAGCAACGCAAAAGCCCACCAAACTTTCATATTGAAGAGTCTAGCCCAGATGACACCAACAGTACTGTAGTGTTAGACAACCTCTCTGACAAGGAATTCAGGAGGGAGCTACTTAGGATGCTTAGGGAATTAAAAGAAACAATGGAAAGCAATGCCAATAGAAGACAAGAGGACCTGAAGGCAGAAATGAGGAAAATGCAATCAGAAATATCAGACCTGAAAAATCTCGTAGGCGAATTGAAAAGCTCAGTGGAAGGCCTCAGCAGCAGAGTAACAGCTGCTGAGAACAGAATCAGTGAACTCGAAGATGAAGTTCAGAGACTCTCCAGAAAAGAGCAGAAAATGGAAAAGAGACTCACAATTTGCGAACAGATGGCAAGAGAAGATCGGGATGAAGCCAAGAGGGGTAACATAAGAATTATTGGAGTCCCAGAGGGACAGGAAGAAAACCTTGATGAAGAAGAAGCTGTCAAAGACATCATTGCTACAACGTTTCCAGAGCTGAAGAAAACTTGTGACCACATTCAGGAGGCCCGAAGGGTACCAGCTAGAAGAAATCCGAATAAAAATACCCCAAGACACATTCTGATCAAAATGACCAAAACCTTAGACAGAGACAAAATTCTGAAAGCAGCAAGATCGAAGAAAGAAATCTCTTACAAAGGAGCATCCTTAAAATTCACAGCTGATTTTTCTGATGAAACCCTCATGGCCCGAAAACAGTGGTGGGACATAGTGAAAAAACTCAATGAAATAAATGCCTCTCCAAAAATACTTTACCCAGCGAGACTCTCATTCATAATAGAAGGAACAACACACAGTTTCACAGACAAACAACAGCTCAGGAACTTCACAGACTCAAAACCATGGTTACAAGAACAACTAAATGGGCTACTTTAAGGCAAGAAAGGCCCCTCAAATACACCAAATTTTAACAGAACAATGGGACAAAATCCCATAACAATAATCTCTCTCAATGTCAATGGGCTAAACGCACCAATTAAAAGACATAGAGTGGCAGGATGGATTAGAAAATTGAACCCAACATTCTGCTGCCTGCAAGAAACGCATCTCAATAGTCAAAGCAAACACAGACTCAGAGTCAAAGGCTGGAAAACAATCCTACAGGCAAACAGCTCCCATAAAAAAGCTGGGGTAACCATCCTTATATCAGACCACATCGATTTCAGAGTGAGGAAGGTCATAAGAGACAATGAAGGCCATTTCTTATTGATCAAAGGATCTATACAACAGGAAGAACTTACAATAATAAATGTATACGCACCTAATGAGAGACCAGCAAAGTACTTAAAACAACTACTCATAGATTTGGAAAAAGACATCAATTGCAACACAATACTAGTGGGAGACTTCAACACTGCTTTGTCACCTCTTGATAGATCAACCAGACTCAAGCTTAGCAAGGACATACTTCATTTGAGGGAAACAATGGAAGAAAGGGACTTAGTAGATATATATAGGACACTTCATCCACAAAAAGCTGAATACACATTCTTCTCAAGCGTCCATGGAACATTCTCCAAGATAGACCACATGCTGAGCCACAAAACATGCCTCCATAAAACTAAGAAGATAGAGATTGTATCAACAATTTTCTCAGACCATAATGCGCTGAAATTAGAAGTAAATCACACACAAAAACAGAAAACTAAATCAAACACCTGGAAATTAAACAGTGCACTATTGAACAACGAGTGGATTAGACAGGAAATCAAAGAGGAAATCAAAAGATTCCTAGAAACGAATGAAAATGAGAACACGAGTTACCAAAACTTATGGGACACAGCAAAGGCTGTGTTAAGAGGAAAGTTTATAGCTCTACAAGCATTCCTCAGGAAGGAGCAGCGAACACACATAAGTAACCTAACCTCACAGCTTAAGAGCTTGGAGAAGGACCAAAAAAAGGAGCACAACCCGAACAGGAGAAAGGAAATAATAAAACTCAGAGCAGAGATTAATGAGATGGAAACCCAAAAAACAATCCGAAAGATCAATGAAACCAAAAGCTGGTTCTTTGAGAAAATTAACAAGATCGATAAGCCGCTAGCAAAACTCACAAAGAAAGGGAGAGAGAAAACCCTAATAAATCGAATCAGAAATGAAAAGGGGGTTATTACAACAGAAACCACAGAAATTCAGAGGATCCTCAGGGAGTACTTTGAGAAGCTTTATGCCACGGAACATCAAAACCTCGAGGAAATGGATAAATTCTTAGACTCCTACAGACTCCCAAGGCTGAACCAAGAAGACCTGGAATACCTGAACAGACCTATCACCATCAAGGAAATTGAAATGGTAATAAAAAGTCTCCCCAAGCACAAAAGTCCTGGCCCGGATGGATTCCCTAGTGAATTCTTCCAAATCTTTAAAGAGGACTTACTCCCAATGCTCTTTAAGCTTTTCCACGAAATTGAAATATCAAAAACACTTCCGAACAGTTTCTACGAAGCAAATATCACACTGATACCAAAAGCAGACAGAGATACCACAAAGAAAGAGAATTACAGGCCGATATCCCTGATGAACACAGATGCTAAGATCCTCAACAAACTACTAGCAAATAGAATCCAACTACCCATCAAAAAGATAATACACCATGACCAAGTAGGATTCATCCCAGGGATGCAAGGATGGTTTAACATTCGAAAATCAATCAACATAATCCATCATATCAACAAAAGAAAAGATAAAAAGCATATGATCATATCAATAGATGCAGAGAAAGCATTTGACAAGATCCAGCACCCCTTTATGATGAAAACCCTAGCCAAAATGGGTATAGAGGGGACCTTCCGCAACATAATTAAAGCCATCTACCACAAGCCTACAGCAAGCATCATCCTCAATGGGGAAAAACTGAGAGCCTTCCCTCTAAGATCAGGGACGAGACAGGGATGCCCACTCTCTCCACTTCTGTTCAATATAGTACTGGAAGTACTTGCAATAGCGATTAGGCAAAAAAAAGATATTAAGGGCATTCAGGTAGGAAAGGAAGAAATCAAGCTCTCACTATTCGCAGATGATATGATACTCTACTTAGAGAACCCAATAACCTCCACCAAAAAACTCCTAGAAACAATAGACTCGTATAGTAAAGTTGCAGGTTATAAAATCAATACCCAAAAGTCCATGGCTTTCCTATACGCAAACAGTGAGAGAGAAGA